CCCCAAAACCCCAAAACCCCAAAACCCCAAAACCCCAAAACCCCTTATTTTTAAAATTGGCTGAGTCATTAACCGAAGGAATATTCCCTTTTGTAAATTTGGCCTTCAGAGTCGGGTTTTGAGGGGGTCTCAGTCGGGATTTTTATGGCTGAAAGGATCTTGGATTTCGCGTGGTGCTCGTCGGTAGGCTTTTTGAGGGTGATTGAGGTAGAGTCGTCTATTAAGGTGAGTTTTTGGGATAGGTCGTTCGGGGATGTGTTTTTGAGTGGGGAATTTTCAGCTAAATCTTCCCAATCTTGATCGAAATCTTCCATCCAAGGGTGCTCAAGGATGCCTTTGAGGGTAATCCTATGTTTTGGAGAGTTGATAAAGATTTTACTCAGCACATCCTTAAGTTCTTTTGACCAATACTTGTAATATTTAATAGGATTTAAAAGAATCGCTGCATTTATAGAAATCTTCTCGCTTCCTTGGAATGGAAGCTTTCCACTTAATATCACATAAATTAATCACCCTAATCACCAAATATCTGCTTCTGTTGCATATCCACTTTTATTTAGCTTTGAGTACCTCTGGAGACATATATCCCATTGTGCCGGTTGTTTCATAAAGTTTTCCATCTGGAGAATCTTCAAGGAAGGCAACATGGTTAAAATCTATAAGTCTGATAATTCCTTGATCATCAATGACTCAATTTTCAGGCTTTATATCCCTAACAACGATTCCTTCTTGATGAAGTAACATCAGGATTTCTATTAGATTTCTTGTGACAAACTTGGCTTCTTCCTCAAGAAGCCCTTGTTTAGCTTCTCAGTACTGATACAAGTCTCCTCTCTCATAAAATTGCATAAAAATATAGTAGTAATTCGGACAATGGAGAGGCTTGTGGAGCTGAGTTGCTACAAATTTACTAATCTCAGTCTCCTTAAACTCTTCAGGATTGGATTTATCATTAAACCTGCTATAGAACCTGGCTTCTGTAATGACTCTCTCTAGTTTATTTAACCTTGGATTTATCTAAACTGATGATGCTTCAAAATACCTATTGACTTGACAGCCATGATTTTGTCATTCTTCTTCTCCTGAATTTTATAAATCTTGCTGAAAGCTCCCTTTCCAATCTCCTCCAGGATCTCAAAGTTCTCTTCTAAGTAGCCTTCTTCGACTGGTTCAAAGTACTGAGCTCTATAAGTGAGGCTGGCAACTTACACTAAGTCTTCCTCCATATTTTATTTTTATGAGCAAGAGGGGTTTTGGGGTTTTGGGGTTTTGGGG